AAAAAAAAACAAAAAACCAAACCCATGAGTTATATTAAACTTACCTTCAATCTCTTCTTCCTCTTCCTCTTCTTCATCCTCATCCTCACTGGAATCACTGACCTGCACAGTTATGTCAGTGCTGGTTACAGGGGTCCAGTCAAAATAAACTCCAAAGCCAATGTCATAGTCATCAGTTGCAAACTCCCAGCAGACACGCTTCCCTTCTGGGTGAGTAGGTACCCGGATAGTCACCACCTCGCCCCGCTTCACCACCAGACGGCTGTTCTTCTCTTTGCCCAGCTTGCTTTTAAATTCCTTCACCTTGGCAAAGGTCCAGATGCATGGAGGAGCCATCAGAGGTGGTGAGACTGAAAGGACAGGCAGCTTAGTACTAAGAACCAAGAGGAAAGGCTGGCGCACCTGCCATTTTAGTGGGGAGGTCGGCACAGAGACACGCTTTCTGCTGGCTTCTCTAACTTCTCTCACAAGTCATTTTTTTCTTAATTTTTTTTTTTTGAGACAGAGTCTCAAGCTGTTGCCCTGGGTAGAGTGCTATAGTGTCACAGCTCACAGCAACCTCAAACTCTTGGGTTTAAGTGATTCTCTTGCCTCAGCCTCCCAAGTAGCTGGGACTACAGGCACCACCATAACACCTGGCTATTTTTTGGTTGTAGTTGTCATTGTTGTTTGGCAGGCCTGGGCTGGATTAGAACCCACCAACTCCAGTGTATGTGGCTGGCACCATAGTTGCTGAGCTACAGGCGTCGAGCCTCACAAGTCATTTTCTTACGTTCCTTCTGTCTGCCTGCCTTTCTTTACTGAACTATTGGAAACAAAAGCCCACCTTCTATGCTCCCAAAGGTCTCACCTTTCCTGTGGTCCCCCAGAAGATCTGCAGATTCCAAATCAGCTGAAACAATGTCTATAGCTCCCGTATGCTCAGACTGGATCATAACGATGTCTCCAGACCTTTGTGGAACTTGATACTTGGGTATCTGCTAAGAACATATTAGAGTGGCAGATTCCAATTAGTCCTTTTCCAAATGAAGACTGCCTCCTCCTTCCCATTCTAACACTTCTACTACCCAAATTCAAAGCTTCACATGCAAGTCAATATTCTTTCTCTTTTTTCCAAGTACAAGTTGCAAATCAATTTTATGAATTTTTTTAATGCTGCCCAAAGTTCCCTAGTTTAAAAATTCTTTCTTATTCTTTCCTACCTTAAGCACTTTTTCCCACTCTAGACTCTTTATAAAATCCTGGCCTACAAATATCCTCCCAGCTTGCAACTGCCTTTTCTATCACTGGTGTCTCTGGGCCTTGCCTCAGTCTCGCCTCACCTGCACAGTACCTCCCTGTGGCTCCTCTCAAGACAGCTCTTGCACCTGTGGTTTAGTTCAACTCCCACTCTGCCACACATCCTCCTGCTGCCATCCCCACTCAAGGGTTACTTCTACATCACTTTCAATCAATTCTCCAAGGCACTGCAGAGAGAGAATCTGGTTTATAGTCTCTCTCTCTCTCTCTCTCTCTCTCTCTCTCTGTTTCCCTCTCTCATCCATGGCCCATCTCAGGCTATAGGTTGTTTCAGTCTCTAGGTCAATAGCAGTGTTCTATAAAAATCAGAATTTCACATTAGACTAGCCCCAGGACTTGCATTTAAAAAGTACATTTGCTGTCAGATGTTTGGTCTACATGGAAGAATACAAATGGCATTTGATATTCAAATGCATGCAGGAGTCTGCAGTTGCTCCCTGGTAAGTGCCCCTACAAATCACTCAGATTAGTGTCCCTGATTTCATGCTATTATGCCTTAATTTCTTGCCCCTTCTCCAAACAGTTGGCAGGCAACTCAACAAGAAATCTATATCAACTGCCCACAGAGGAGAGCACATCAGTGAGTCAGCAATCCAACTAAGAGACTGGAATTGTATTTTCCAGAAATAAATAAATAAAGTTTGTTGGAATCCTTCCAGGATGTATTCTCACTATATCTGTTTCTGAAGAACAAGCCTTCTAGTTCTCCTTATCTCCAGCTCTAAATGAAGTAAATCAGACTTTGCCTAGGTGTGCTTAAATGAATCCTTTCTTTTCCAAAATACTCAACAAAGGATTTAGTTTGCAATTTATTAGCTGCATAGCTTTAGTAAAGTCACTAATAGCTTAGTCTCAGTTTCCTCATTTATACAGATGTAATTATAACGCTTGGTGCTATCTTAATTGTTGCTAATTATTAAATGTCACTAATACCAATTGTTATTATGTCACATATGCTCTTAATAATGATGATACGAACAATCCCTATCTCCCAGACCTCCATGGCAGGGGGATCACTACATTAGTACCACTTCTACAAAATCTTTACCATTAATACTGAGTATATCTATCACAAGAAAAGTAAGGCTAAAACACAGTCCAATCACTTCAGGCTCCTCGCTCCTCGTATCATAAAGATTTTAGGGAACACATGAACATTTATTCTAACACTTCATTTTTTGAATAGTTGCCAAATACTGGTTGCCTTCTGCTATTATGATGATGGGCCCTGTGAGAAATACAAATAATCGTTGTCCAAATAATTAAAAATAAGATGCTCTAAAGGGTGCAAAGAAAGAATTCTGGGGGCCATCCTCACAGGGGTTTCTAATTCCAACCCATCTGTCAGGCACCTACATTCTGGTGCCATAAACCCCTCCTCTTATAAGAGAGCCAGAATATTCTTCCTACCTCACTGAGGACCTGGGCTTGGTCTGTAGGCAGCAAATCCTGTTCCACCAATGCCTGAGTCTCCAAGGCACCAGCTGCTTTCTGCAGTTCTTCTGTGGCATCCTTACTTACCGGAGATACCATCTGTGGCCTCTCAGAGGAAGAGATCATGTCAATCTAGGGTTCTTTGAAAAGTCACAAGCATCCTGGAAAAACTCTGAAATAAAACAACATTCAAAGGACACCCCCAATCCTCTCTTCCCTTGGCATTTAGGTCTATTGTAACTTTAGCAGACCACTGCCAAGGCCTGAATTGGCCCACTGTAAAGCAAAGACAATGTCTAAGGGCACACAGATGGACAAAGCCAGGTCCTGGGAATCTGAGAGTCATGGAAAAAACCCACATAGCTGGCTCTGTGCTCGTACCTCCGGGGCTAGGGCTCTGGCCAGATACACCGTGGCTGGTGGGTTCGAACCCAGCCCAGGCCTCCTAAGCAATAATGACAACTATAAAAAAAAAAAAAA